AGGTCCTTTACCTATTTTAAAATTGGGTTATTTGTTTTTTGCTGTTGAGTTGTTAGTGTTCCTATATATTCTGAACATTAGTCCCATCAGATGCATAGTGTGCAAATACTTTCTCCCATTCTGTAGGTTGTTTCTTCACTTTGTTGATTGTGTCCTTTGCTGTGTAGAATCTTTTTAGTTTGATGAAAACCCATTTATCTATTTTCACTTTTGTTGCCTGTCTTTGTTGTCTTGTTCATAAAATGGTTGCCCGGTCCAGTTTCATACAGCATTTATTCTGTTTTCTTCTAGTAGTTTCATAGTTTTGGGCTTTAAATTTAGGTCTTTAATTCATTTGGAATTGAGTTTTGTATACAATGAGACAGAGGTCTACATTCAATTTACTACATGTGGATATTCAGTTTTCCCAGCACCATTTACTAAAGAGCCTGTCCTTTCTCCAGTGTATTCTTGGAACCTCCATCGAAAATCAGTTGGCTGCTAATGAGTGAGTTTGTTTCTGGGGTTTCTATTCTGTCCCATTGGCCTATTTGTCTGTTTTTATGCCAGTACCATGCTGTTATGGTTACCATACATTTATAGTATATTTTAAGTCAGGTAATGTGATTCCTCCAGCTTTGTTCTTTTTGTTCAAGATTGCTTTAGCTTTTGTGTGTGGGTGTGGTTCTACACAAATTTTAAGATTGTTTCTTCTATTTCCATGGAGGGAATGTCACTGGTATTTTGATAACAATTGCATTTAATCTTTAGTTTGCTTTGGGTAGTATGGATATTTCGATGATATTAATTCTTTCGATCCATGAACTTGGGATATTTTTCCATTTATTATTTTCTTTTTCAATTTCCTTTACCAGTGTTTGAAGGTTGTAGAGATCTTTCACCTCTGTGGTCAAATTTAGTCCTAAGCATTTTACTTTTTGGGTAGCTATTGTAAATGGGATTACTTTCTTGACTTCTCTTTCAGATATTTCATTATTGCTGTATAGAGATGCTATTGATTTTTGTATGTTGATATTGTATCCAGCAACTTTAAGGACTTCATTTATTAGTTCTATCTTTTTTTTTTCTTGTCTTCAGGTTTTTCTACATATATATATGATTCTGTCATCTGCAAATAGGGACAGTTTGACTTCTTCCTTTCCAATTTGCTTTCTCTTGCCTTATTGGTCTGGCTGGAACTTGAAGCACTATGTTTAATAAGAGTGATGAAAGTGGGCATCCTTGTCTTGCTCCAGTTATTAGGGGAAAAGCCTGAAACTTTTGTCCATCAGTTGATATTACCTGTGGGTTTGTTATATGTGACCTTAACTGAGTTGAGGTACATTCCTTCTATACCTAATTTGTTGGGTGTTTTTAATCATGAGGTGGTGTGAAAATTTATGAAATGCTTTTCTGCATTTGTAGAAATGATTAGATGGTTTTTTCTGTTTGTTTTGTTTCTCGGGTTTTTTTTTTCTTAGCATTATCTAAAATATTTGGTTCTATTTATATCTATTGCAAACAGAATATAAGAAAACATTTCTTGGGAAGATTTTGGAAGTTTCCCAACAGACCAATTCAACCAATTCAATGTTTACTGAATTCCAAATATCTACATTTTAGTTGTGGAGATTCATCTCTATAGTCCTCCCCCTGGATTTGTTACTCTAGAACTGCCATTCCAGAGGAGTCAAGAAATTTTCATTATTATCATGTCATGCATGATTATGAGCTCTCCCTAGACCATCAGAGATATTGAGCAAATCTCTTCCAAAAGGTTCAGAAAAATTTATCATCATCTGTCTCATACTCTCTCAGTGTGCAATAAAAGAATCAGATTCTGGGACAGCTGCATCTGGTACAGGCCACAGTCTGCTTCTGCTCATGGTGGAAAATGGCAGGCAGCCAGCAGGTACAAGCAGATCACATGATGCTAGACAGCAAGAGAGAGGTGATTAGATAGTTTTTGTCCTTTACTCTATTAAAGTAGTGTGTCACGTTTATTGATTTGCATCTGTTGAGCCATCCTTTCATCCCTGAGATGAATCCCACTTGATCATGGCAAATGATCTTGTTAACATGTTGTTGGATTTAGTTCACTAGCATTTTATTGAGGATTTTTGCATTTATTTTAAGTAGAGATATTGCTCTATAGTTTTTTCGTTGGTCCTTTTTTGGTTTTGATATGAGGGCAATGTTGGCCTCATAGAATGAGTTTGGAGTATTCCCTTCTCTTCAATTTTTTGCAAAGTTTGAGCAGAATTGGCATTAGTTTTTCTTTAAATATTTGGTA